AAAAAAAGCATTAGAACACTATCGGTTATTACATTGTTCACCTGTCCCTAGGAATGGTCCCCCAGTGTTGGCCACTGTAATGTCCAAAGCAAGAAACCGAAATGAATCTGACTTATTTATGCCTTCAAACTGCAATATTTGAAAGTAAATCTCTGTTTTATCCGAATCATTGACAACATGGACGCAATTATTTACGACTAGAGACACAAGTCGGGCGGATGGCTACCTGAAAGACCATAAATAATCCGGTTGTTTTTTTAATTTACCTATGATAGATTCCTTGACTGATTTGGATTTCCATTGAGCGCTCTCCCGCCTGTTTCACCCACAGGCTTGAAAAGGGAACTTCACCAGTACGAAATGAAGGTGCCATACAGAAAAGCAAATGCAGTGTGGTGAGAGTGTTGATTTCACTCTTGCGCAGCAATGGGATAGAAACGACAAACAAGTGCCCAGCAGCAAGACAGGAATTAATAAAAAAGAGCATGTTCAACTTTACTTACAGTTGTTGTTATTGTTTACTTGGCTCTCCGCGACAATTTCCTGATCATGCTTGCTGTGTGGTTTACGGCACTTCTTGCAGTAGAGGTAAGCGAGTACGCATTCATGAGCCTTGGTCAAAGCGACTTGTACTTTCGTAAGCCAGCTTTCCCCCTCTTCCTCCTCAAAGCCCTCTATCTCACGCCTCCGAAGACGTTCCAGGTAATCTGAGTAAAACAGAATAGTAGTAATTGACTGGTAGGTGCTATTGCACTTTCAGTTTTAAGCAAAATCCATCTTTTTCACCAAGTCCTATAAACCAGTCAAGTTATTCAGACTATTATGGACATAATTTTGGAGATTCTTAGTTCCAACTTGGTTTTCCTTGGGGCTAATAATTTTGACTTTATTTAGATGAAACCCGGTTTATGAACCGCAATTAAAACTCTACTTGCAACGAATGATAAGAAATCAATAAAAAGACCAAACTTACTTAAAACCTTTTTTCGGAGGTAAGGGACCACCAGAAATTGCACAATCAGTGCTGTTAAAATACCAGAACTGAACGACGCCACGAGAACGACCCAAAGAGGCGGTTTAAAATGTAGAACTTGGAGGGAGAGAAAAAGCCACATTAAGAACACTTAAAATATAGCCATTTAAGGATTGAGAGGAATGAGCTCCAAATAAAACTGCTGTACACAGATTCTTTTAAGGAAATTAAAGATACCGCCTATAAAACTTACTAGCAATGCCTCCGAATAAAACTGAGAACACATTCACTAGAACTGTACAACCATATATAAAGGGGAGAGATCGCAATGCTGGTTCCAGAGGCCTTTCCTACAATCGAAACAGAAAAATTCCATTTGATATTTATCCTAACTCAGACGATAATTTGAAGAGAATGAACGCAAAATATGATTACCTTTGTGAGTATAAAATGTTTGAAGAATATGAACATGAATATGGAGACAGCACCGCTCAGCACAGGTGAGATAAACCACGAGAGAACTGAAATAGGGAAACCAGTTTGGCTTATGAGCACAACGCGATATATTTTTAAAATAAACAGTAGAACTTTATTGTTTCGAAGATAAAGCTGGCTGACAATATTGTCACATGTAGTATTTAACTCTTCCTACGTTTTATGGAGCACTGTTTTACGTCAGGAC